AATTGTGCCTTCTCTAAAAGGAAAAAAAAGTAGAGAACCTAAATAAAAAGCAAACTGTGGTTTTCTGCATTGTTACAGTGCCCAAGGACAGTTCTGATTTGATGCCTTAGCAGTTTACATGGAATTTTACTCTAGTGGCTTTTCTAAGGTTCAGCAAAAACAAGCAACAAACAATATGCTCTCTCTGAGCCACAGGAACCATTTTCAGAGCCTATGCATACAGTTTCAAAATTTTCTCTTCTAATAGTATCATCTGAGTAGGCTGTAAAGAAAAACCTTTCAATTTTGCGTGGTAATTGAGTCTTGTAGAGCATTTGGAGCTTTGATTTACCTTCTAGAAGAATATCTGGGCTCAAAGATCATGTGCAGTTCGGAGATGAGTGTGAAATGAAAGGCTAACATTTCACCAATCAATGCAGATGGATCATTCCATTAACCCTGGCAGCTGAATTAGTTAAAAGCTGGGGATACTCAGGTTCTGGGAAAATGCAAACACAGGATCTGCCAGTTACACTAGGCAACTTCCATACCCTGCAGCTCTTAGGAGTATCAATGACTTCATCATCCTCAATAACCAAAAATCTAAAACTCATTCTTACATTGTTTGAACTAGTCCAAGAATTTCATGATAACACAATGTGGCTTAGGGGTAGCAACAAATGTAGATAATAGAGAATATTGACAAGCACTGAGTTGGGTTCCTTCAATTATGTGAATATTTCTACACTTCAGTGTGGTGATTTGTCTGATCATGAGTAGTATCAACACTAACTGGAGCCCTCGGTTTCCAGGAATAGACTCTCCCAGTAAAGTTACTTATGCATTTTTCCAGCTACTATTCTGTGCTAAAAAAAAAAAAATGTAATAATGAAAAAAATACTAAAGAAGGAGACATAAGTCTGCCATTAGTCTGTTTTTGAAGCATGGGCAAGTCACTTCACCTCTGTTTGTCTATTTCCTCAGTTTGAAGATTGAACGGTTGCGTTGACTGGACTCTAAAGCTCCTTGTAGCTCTAAAAGTCTAGACTACTTACAAAGGCTAGTACTGGCTCCTTCAGCCATTAGATCTACATGTACTATTTAAATGATCAAGTCTTGCCTTTCAAAAACACGGTAAAGAGAAGAGCGTTTCCCCCCTCACAGCCCTGGGACTGTAAATCATTTGTTGTGCTAAGACATGCAAATGACTGACACTGGACAACATAGTTCGTTCTTTGCATTTCACATGCCACATTATACCCAGATGAGTGTATTGTTAAAAAAAAAAAGAGAGAGTAAGCCATCTGATGATATTTTCTTGCTTATTAACATTAAACTGAGCTTATAATTAGCATCACCAGGTGAAGTACTTTAATGTTTTGTTTTGTTAGTTTTGTTTTTTTAAGGAAATACTGAATGATTCTCTTCTGATAGCTTTTTACTTTTGGAAAGGTCAGCCAAGTCCCCAATTCAGAGTCTTGCTCTCACATTGGCTGATTCATTCCAAATCCTCAAAGAGCATTCTCCTCATATAATTTTCTTTTCCACAATGGTCACAGTTCTCTAGCCATATAATAAAAATCATGCAAATCTGAGTTTGCTTACGCTAAAGACAGGCTTACTTGAATAGGGAGACCAATGTTCATTCACTTCAGTGTGAATAAAGCTTGATGTGATGTTTTTCAGTGTGGCTTTAGCTGAGCTGAAGTTGGCAGAGCCTGTAATACAGATTGCTATACTTATAGGTCTGATTTGTGGCAACTGTGGCATCTGTATTCTCAGTTCTAGATTTAGCAGCTTCTCTAGTTTTATTCTTCTGACCGGCCATGGAATATGATTCTATATACTCTTAGCAAGTAGTACATTTAATTTTGATTTTTTTTTTTTTGCATCAGGATTCAAAATGTAACCCAACAAATTTCAGATGAAGTCTAAAATAAGTTTTCTGTGATTCATACACATCAGTGAAAAATATAGGATTATTTATATGCCTTTACACACACTCATACAAATGGACTCTCTGTACCTACATACAAACATTCCCCCATGTTGTTTTCTCTTTGATAGGTTTGATAGCAATATAAAACCATATATTCTAAAATGTTTCTTATTCATATTACTATGATAATACTATAAATCATTACTAATCACTAGGTTAACTTAGAAAAAATTCAAACTTCCATTCTAAAACTGCTTTTAAGTTTCCTTATTTTTTCTAGGATCCTGCAGAATTAAAAATAATGCTTATTATTTTTAGCTTGTATGATTTAATGCTGATTTCAGCAATTGTGGCCAGTTTCCATAGTCCATTTGCTTAAATCCTTGGATAGTACTGAGATATTTTTATTTTTACAGATGTTCATCAACTCATGGAATACATACACATCAGCGCTGGGTGAGTTCAGTTAAATTTCCTAATGTTTTGATGCTGGGTGAAATCTCTTTCATTTGACCAGCATCTGTGGAATTGACCAGAAATTTGCACAACCAAGTACTCTCCCTAATTGCTCCTTAACCATGCTCTTCCTTATCAGCAAATCTTAGACAGATTTCTCCTCAACATGGGAGAAATTAGACTTTGTATTTTCACTAAAATTAGGAAGCTGAGGGTAAAGAAAAACAGGAAATGGAAGAAGAGAACATTAAGAATACAGATAAAAATAAGTCCTACGATTCTATCAAAATACTGATTACACTGGAAATCATCTAATGAGGTCTCCAAATTGAGAGTAATGTGTTTTTCTGTTTCTCACTTCTAGGAAAGAAAGAGACAACAACAATAAAAGGTGTAGAATTAGAGATTCATTAAGAAAAAAAGCAAAGTAAGGGACGGGGGAAGGAAAAGGAATGCCTTGTGACCTCTCCAAAAACAAACAAACAAACAAACAAACAAACAAACTGCTGCCTATTTTACACACACTTCCTGCCACAGAATGAGGGATACAGGGTCCTGCAAAAGCCTCCATCAGAGAAAACTATAGTGAGGCAGGAGAGCAAGGAAGTTTTCAGAAGTTTCTCATTAGTAAAGGCTAAGACAAATAGAGTTGCCCCCTCCATTGACCAGAAAACTAAGTAAATTATGTCATTCCCTGAAGCACTCTGATAATCAAGGGTTTCTTTTTATTTAAAAATGGAACTTCTATATCACACGGGGAAAAGCAGTCTTATTACAGTTTTAACATTTGTACCTGTTTATTTTTCTTGGAGTGGGCATTTCTACCCATCATTAACTCAAAACAACTAATATATACACACAACTAAAAATCACATAAGGAAAGAACTAAAGGATAACAACACTAACAGTTTCAACAGTGGAACTGGCACTTGGTCATTTTTGTGGATTTGAGTCCTGGGGAATCAAAATGTCAGAAGAGAGCAAGCAAGAGGCTCTTGCCCCATGGCCCACAATAATGAAAACTAATCATGGGACGTAGCCCTGGGAGAGAAGCCCTGGGAGAGACCTGCAAAGTGCTCCTGAGGTGAAATGCATCATTACTTCCAGCCTCCAAAACATTATGTAAGTTAACCCTGGTTTTTGTCTTTCAGATCATTTGCAAAGGTGTTTTCGGCCTCTCAGCAAATCAACTCTCTAGTATTTACTGAACAATAAGAATGTTATGAACAGAGTCATCTCAAGCCTGGAATAAGAAACTATATTTCTCTGCTTTTCCCTCCTATTGTTCCTGCTTCTTCATCTTTTCCCCACTTAATAGCCATTAAAAAAATGTCAAAATTATCTATGTTTTTAGTCCATGGTTAAAACCATCCTTATAATAATTTTTTAATAATTATGATATAATATATTGTATTTGGCACTGAAATCAATTGGTAACTAGTCTACACAAACACTATCCTATACAAATATTAGCAAGGGGGAGAGATATATCATAGCAATCAACAAATTACAGATCATCTGCTAAGGAGATGTCAGAATGCATAAGCACTGGACCAGTGGGGTGGTCATAGGCATCACATGGGACAGCAAACATGAAAGGACTCCAGATGGCAGAGCACTTTGGACATTAAGGTCGTTATTACTGTTGTTATTATGGTATAACAACTGACTCACTGTGGGGAAAGTAAACCCCAAGAAGGCAAAAGTCCTGGTCAGATTTAATACAAGGAATCATTTCCTCTCCATGTCTAACAGCTGGCATTTGATGATGATAATGTAATACATGGAGAGACACACCTTGGACTTATAAAATATAAATTTGAATATACAAATATATATTATGAAGTATGGTAGGATACAAATTGATGTAAAAATATGCTTTGCTTTCTCTGTTTCATGAGTTTAAAAAGCATACAATTTTGTGTTGTTTTTATGTTGAAGCAAAGTTAGTAAATTTTTGGTTCTGTTAAAGAAGTATTTTCACAGTATATGTTATTACAGTGCTGAAATCTTACATGTTAAATAGCCACCTGAAATATTTAGGACTTAACCAAAAATAACTTAACACTAATATAGATCATTCTAGTAACATGTTTAGTTATATGGTTTGGGGTAGTAAGAATGGAATCGTGAGAATGGAAATCCATCAAGATTTTCTACTTGGCCAATTTTGAATTAAATGTTTGAGATAGTCAAGTAATCCTATGGGTAGGATAACCATGATATCTTCATTGTTAATTAGAAAATGGCCTGAAGCATTAGCTGTAGAAAGTACTGTAGGAAGATGGTAAGTCGGGAAGAGATGCCTTCCCTGCGCTCAGCCTAACTAGTGACTGGGGTAAAATACTTGTACCCAGATAGTATTTCCTGGGTCAGTGTTTGACAATCAAACATTCTTGAAGGTGGTGGATCTGCTCAGGTTCAAGAGACCACACAGTAAATAGCCTTGCCTCATGAGGACAAATCCCAAGGCTCCGAGAATTTACTCTCTGTTCAAGGGTTCTGAGCAGCTATATGAAGGGTAATCTTCTCATTTCTTGGGTCACTGCTGTCATGTTACTGGCCTTAATTGCATTTCCAGTTAAATTATAAAGTACAATACATAATGTTGAACCTTCAGAAATAATGTAATGAGCACAACCACCCACCACAGAATCCCAAGTCCAAATTACTGGCAGAGTCATCATCTGAGAATGTACAGAATCTTGATCATCATTGTTGCTGTCTTTATCATCATCATAGCATCTTTCGCATCGCAGTTGCAGTATCACGATCATGTCAAGTTGTATGGCAAGATCAGAAAAACCAATATCAAGACACTGTCCAGTTTGGGTGTGTAAATATTATCCTGTGTTTCTTGGCCCATTTAGCAAACACTTTCTTTTCAGTGATAAACCTATGGCCTCCATATGGGGCATGTTCATGAAGAAAATATTCATCACATTCATCTCTTCCTTGTTCATAGTAATGGTAAGGGACTTTTCTATACCCCTCTGTCCTAGAAAAGAAAAAAAAAGGAGAGAAAGATTGAGATGAAGAATGAAACATTCATTTGTAAGAATCCATTATGTGCCGAGTAAATGCATTTACTTGCAAACCTATGCATGATTCTAGTCCATGAACTCAGTTAAAACTATTATGTATAAAAGCTTTTAGGAAGATGTACCAAGTCCTTAGTGTTTTAATAAATCAAATAAAATTTATATATCACACCAATTACATTCGAATGTATAGCTCTCCTTTGAAGGAGGAAATGGCGCATAATGGAACAAACTGGATAACCCAGTGCTCTTACAGAGCTTAAAGAAGTCTTGTGATTTTTCAGAGTTAAGAAAGTTGGTTCATCTGTGTTTTAATATACTTATAGTTAGGGTAGAAATATTTGATCATGAAGATTGTGGTTTAATTACCATTTTGAAAATATGATTAAAACATTCTTTGAATTCTATTTTGTCAATTGTTGGTAAGAAGTATATTTCATTATGTTGATGAAGCATGGAAGGTTTATTCTATTATCTAATTAGAAACTATCCCACTAGCAGGGATATATGTGGATAAAGGCACCCATTTTAAATCTGGCAGATTACTCACTTATTTCCAGAAATTCTTGTTAAGCTATCAGCTTCTCTGAGGCCCTAGGACATTTTGTCCTTCATGATCAAATATAACCACTGAGTAGATAGCCATCTATCAAGTCATTAGCACAGCAGAGATGACAAACTTGCTTTACAAATTAAATAACCACTATAGTTGTCTGTATTTCTAAGCCACAAGTCCCTGATATGCCACTGATTAAGGGAAAAATTTTTCTTCTGACATTTGACATTTGACTGCGGTAAATATTTTTCTTTTTATCACCCCTAAAAGTCACAACTTGATACACCGACAATGAAATATCATGTCAGCAAAGAACACCAGGAAATAATTGTTGCTTTTTCTGTTTTTTTCAGATTTATTGTAGTAAAGTGAATTGTGATATTTTGACAAGATATCTGAATTGGAGATGCATAAAAATAATTTCCTGTGATCTTACTTGCAATAGGTGTCATTTATCATCCCGTAGACGTGAATGCCATAACAGGCATCCATAGCCAGAATGAACGTGAACCACCCAGTGCTGAGGTAAGAGCCAGACTGGACTCTGTGAGGGAACAAAAACAACAAACAAAACAAAACACCACAGACAACATGCACAGAACAACAATAAAGTGTGGTGAGAAACAAGCCACTTTTTGTCAAAACATAGCAATCGTTATCGGGAAAAAGCACTAAAAAACTTGACAATATGTCAAAGATTCACACTTATTTTGAATTATCTCTGAATAATTTATGGTATGCTCTCACTCTTACTAGGAGCTATGTTGTATGGTAGAGAAGCCATATGGCAAATTTTTGAAGTCAAATAATCCTGCTCCCTTCAGGTGAAAAATAACTTGTTTGATTTTCCGTATGACACAAATTAGTGTTCCATATTAGAAGACAGGTTTTCTACAAGTTGCTTGGAGTCCTGATGGGAACTGAATGATAATAGTGCTATCTGCTACCCTGGACGTATCACTTTCTCTAAGGCTTGTTGGGTTTCTATGTGTAAATTTGATGCAATGTAAGTGAATGACTTGGTCTATGAAAGCATCTGAGAAGTTCCCCTTCACCACTTTCCAGGCATCATGAGACAAGACTTTTCCTTTGTAAGACCTGTCTTACCAATTTCTTCAACATATTTCTATTGAACACCTACTATGTGCCCATCTCCGTAGGAGATGCTGAGATACAACTGTTGTCAAAACAACCAAAGCTTTTGTTTTCATGGAGACCAGAGGATTGGATTTGGAGATGGCTGTGTTATAAAGGTTGGCCATGGAAGGCTTTTTTGATAATGGGAACAAAGCTCTGACAAAGGGGAAGTGGGGGTTAGGGAAATGGGAAGAAGCCACATGGACTACACTGGGAAAGTCAAGCTCATACATGTAGTCTTTTGACCACCTCTTTGTCAAATGAGAATGGTCATGGGTCTCCAACCCTTCCTTACTAAAGGATGAGGAATTCTCACAGCCTGTGTTAGACTTGCCACCTTGTGTGGGGCTATCTTACCTTGTTTCAGACTTTCATTTTTTATTTTTTCAATTACAGTTGATATTTACTATTATATTGATTTCAGGTATATATAGTGATTGTACATTTATATAACTTACAAGGATACTCCCCAATAAGTCTAATACCCACCTGACACCATACGTACTTGTAGCTATTTCCACATCATTGGCTATATTCCCTATTCTGTACTTTACATCCCCATGACTATTTTGTAACTGGCAATTTGTACTTATTAATGCTTACATCTTGTTCACCCAGTCCCCCAGCCCCACTCCCATCTGGCAACCATCAGTTTGTTTTCTGTATCTATAAGTTTGTTCCTGTTTGGTTTGTTCATTTATTTTGTTTTTTAGATTCCACATGTAAGTAAAGTCATAAGGCATTTGTCTTTCTCTCTTTGACTTATTTCACTTAGCCTAACGTGCACTTCTTTGTTCTGTTTAAATGTGTGTATGTCATATGGTGCCTGGCCAACCTCACTGCTATATATCTGTTCCCTGAAAATAGGGGTTGGGGTCTTTCATTCTGTGGCAGAAAATGATTGCATGTGGGCCAGTGGCCCTGAACTTGCTTCTGGAAAGGACCTACTGGCCATGGGGCACCAATGCCCACTACTAATCCCGATCTTGTTCTGTTTCTTCTCTATGTGAGTAAAGTGTTGTTTCATCTAATGTTTGCATTGTTTTCCTTGGCAAATCTGATATCAGGAGGCAGTGGGCAGAAGGTTTGGATATCTATTCTTAATGATATGTGACAGATGCTACTTGCTCGACGGACAATGGGAGAGAAAAATATTTCAGAAAAAGGAAACGCTAAGGGCAAAATTACAGTTATGTAAGTGTGTTTGGTATATTCAAGGAAAAGATGGGAAGAGTGATAACTGAAGGGAGAGATGTAGTGCTGATTGGAGGTGTCTGCCAAGTTCCAAATGATTCGAGGGAATGTTTGATGACAGGCAGCATCTTCATACTTGTCTGTAGCCAAAGGTGACCCAATCCACCTAAAACAGATGATTGCCTGTCTCCATAAGTTTCTCCCCACAGTGGCATGTGACTCATCCCAGGTTGCTTGGCATATGCGTAGCACCACTTCTAAAAAAGATGAAATTTCCTACATCTAGACATCTTTGCACACTGGAACACAGCGAGCTCTTCTACTGATAACTGCTGTCTGGGTACACCACTCCAGACAGCAGTGCTCCCCACTGAAGTCCAATATTGTCGATGCACTTCTCCAGCACCAAGCCTTCAGTGTGCTATAATTAGGACTCTGAATCCTCTCATTCCTTTTTTTTTTTCAAGCAGGCACTGCTTAGTATCAAATTATTTACAGAATACGAGCATTTCAGAAACAACAGAAGCTGAGAGTAGAGGTTAATAACTGGATATGTTAACCTTTGTTTTTATGGCTTTGGGTGATTTGCAAGGGGAAATAAACCCAGGCCACGAGTGCCTATGTGCACGTACGGTCCGGCTCAAATAACACCCCTGTTTTATTACAAATTCTTTTATCACAAAATCATAAGCATGTAATTCCATAGCATAACAATATCACACTCAAACACACCACATGACATTTTAGGTTTGTTCAAATTAAAACTGTAAATTATTACACCCATATTATTATCCTGCCAACCACACTCAAGCACAGTCAACTTGAGTTTTATATATATATATATATATATAAAAAACTATTTATGTGTATATATAGTTATATATATAACTATCTATACTAGTTTATATTTACTATATATTACATATACTATATATAAACTATTTTGTACTATTTATATATATATTTATATATATTTCCTCTGCTTATTTGTCACAGAATTTGAAATGCCACAATGTAAATACTCCCTTTAGTATGTCTTGACATGTCTTCTACATGGAAAATATTCCAGAAACAGGATCCCAATGAATTACATGCACTTTCCTCTGTAACAGGAACAGTAGCAGCAGCAGCATGGGTTAAGAATGGGCGCCAAATGGATGGGAAGATCTACCACGGGGAGGTGAGATGCTCATAAGGGCAACTTTGCTTACACAGCTGAACCTACAGTCCATCGTGCCTTCCGGAGTCCGAGGAGGAGCAGCGATAATGTGGACTGCTTCAAGTGCCACCTGCTTAAAAAGTCGTTATTTGAAATTTGGGAGAGATCAGAAGAGGCAAGAGTCTTAACAAGAATCTCTCAAACTGAAACTAGAAAGTTTGTCTATGTAGTGAATTTTTCTGGTTACTATTCCTACTGAATTTTATACCCCTTTTTCCTCTTCTTGCCTTCTTGTATGACTTTTACTGTAATATTTGTCTATTATTCTCTCCATCTTCAACACCTGATTGACCAAGCACTGGTAAAGATCACTAAAATTTACACCATTTGTTTGTATACAATGAGAAAAACCAGGTCTCACTTATTCACCCATTCATTTATCTTTTTCAACAAACATTTATTAGAATCCTATCATGTGCCACTAACTATATTAGAAGCTGGCAATGAATATTTCCTTAAAGAACATATGGCCTAGTGTGGGAGGCACAGACATTGAAACAATTGATCACAATATAGTGCAACAAAGCACAAGCCCATGTGTTCCTTCTGAGTTGTTACCCAGTGCACTAGAGAACAGAGTGAAGCTACCTGGTTTCACATTCCGGCTCTCCTGCTACTTGAATGCACATTTGGAAAACGTGTTTAGCCTCTTTTGATCATCTTAGTTTCTTTGTCACAAAAACAAAGTGGCTGATCTCATATCTAAGGTTTCTTCCAATTTTGGAATCAAATTATTGAAGGTGATTGTCACCTTCAATAGTTGATCTGTTTTAACCTTTAAGCATATACTATGCTACAAGCATTTTGTATGTATAATGAACAAGAACATCAGTCAGACCACATTTAATGCTCATTTGTGTGATGGGCATGCCACTAAATACCTGGGGTGTATATTTTTATATAAAGTTTTTACCTGCCAAAGGCAGTGGCAGTTGTCATTGAACTTTTGGAGGGAGATCTATGTTTACCTCCTTTGCACTTCTGCTCACAGAAGGTGCTAAAATCGCTCTTCAACACCAACAACAAAACTGGACCATAATATTGAGGGTATGAGGGTATTTCTCTTACTTTGTATGAGAAATAAAATAAATTTAAATTAGACAAAAATTGGTTTTATTCTTATGTGTTTTTTTTTTCCCCTAGGAGTTGCTGTCAAGGACCAAGATGATATTATAGCCCCCAGGATAAAAAGAGGATCTTTGTGTGACACATGGACCACTATTTTGCAGAACGAGCTCTTCTGGCTCATTCTGGTCCACCCCAGATAGTCATTTCTGATAGTTCAGCTTGGATTTTCAGAGCAGAACCCTCAAGGGGTAGAGCACAACTCCCAAAGTGGCTCCTCTGCATATCTATCTCCCCTTTACCATAGGAAAAGGAGGTCAGGGATTTCGGAGTTTAGCATATAGTCAAAGGTCTTTACATTTCACCACATAATAAGAAAATGTTTACCATACTTCTGATACTTGTTTATGTTTAAGCCTAATCTGATTTGTTTTGTGTGGGGGTAGACAGAACATGATAATTAGCCCCGCAGCTCTTTAAGTGAGCTGTGTTGCATGGGATTCAGCCAGGGAGGCTCTTTCTGCCCAAGTGCCCTGTCCTACAAACAGCACTTAATTAGACAGTTGCATTTTCTTTCCCTGGTGCCTCTGATATATTTGGGATAAGAAATTGTGTGAGCCAATGTCCATATAATGGTGCTTGTGGTGGAATAATGGCAGTTGGTAGATAAATTCAGGAATTCTACTGAATAGATGTCCTGGTGATCTGGGTTCCTAGGTGGACCCACTGGCCTGGATGGCACTGGCTCTGGGAGTTCTTGTAGCTGAACTGCCCTCCAACTGTCCTGCTGTGTAGGCAAACTAGAAATGAGGAAGTATAAATTATACCCAAGCAGACTTTTTGAGGTTCAATAAAAACAACAACAAAATGACTGGTGCTGATGTACGTGAAATTGTTTATGCTTTTAAACTTGAAGAGACCCAGTAATA